CTCTCTCTCTCTCTCTCTCTCTCTCTCTCTCTCTCTCTCTCTCGCTCTCTCTCTCACTTCAAATTTATTCCTTATACAATACGTACTTGTTTAAAAAAAAACAGTCCTCACGGTGGCGCGCATGCATTTTCGATCCCCATTGTGGTTTACAGAAGCGCGGAACAATGTGAACGGTGTCCACGATAGTGTCGGTTGAAACGACGCTGCTGTGCTGATGTCCATTCGCCTTCTCCCATTTCAATTCCTTGCAACCTGTCACGTGTTCCCGTTCACTGTCAACCTCTGTGTACCACTGCACAAAAGCGCACTTGTGTTCCACATTATCGCCGTCTGTGGGTTCATCGACGACGAAAAACATGGCCACTGATGTGAACCACGTACATTCGTTGGCTGCTCTTATTGCGTCGTCGCTGTGCACTGGTCTCCCGTGGAACCGCGGCGACGCTCGTGCAGTTTGAACAAGTGTGCCCCTGTTTGTTCCGTCCTGCGTGCAAGCGACGGCGAGATGTGTTCATGTGTGTATAGCGAGATCATCAGGAGGAGGTTGACAACCATTCTCCGCCATGTACGTCGTAAGCGCTGCTCGAAAATCGGTTCTGAAAGGGAGGTCTTCGACTGTCAATGCCTTCCACCTCGCATATCTAGTCCTGATCGATGTAGAACCAGCGCAGTTGAAGGATTGACGTATCGCGTAGTGCCAGGGTGTTCATCCCCGTTGCCATACAGTCTGTCACAGAAGACCTATTCTCGACGGCCCTCTTCCTCCTTTTCCTCACAAATCCGGTCTCCTCCTGCAACGCCAGCGACCRGCGCACGTGGTTGACCATCTRGGTTGACGCTTTCCTTTTGTTCGATGACATGTACGGTTGTTTGCAGAATCTCCTGTGGTGATGCTCCCAAACGTCTGCAGCGAATGTGTCGGCCACACCAGATCGCTCAGTACTCGTTCTCATATGCATAAGATCATGCAACTTCGGGAGTTTCCAATTTGATGGTTGGTATCTTCCCAATTTCGCTTTGATGGTCGTTACGAAGTCCGTCATCAACGMGTCACATTCGTCRAGGGAAGCTCGAGTGWGTGYTGTGCGCYRAAACAACCRTACRTACATTTGCATCAGCTTAACAAAACAAGCGGTAATGCCCTTGCCTGTCGAGCGCGGGATTATATTAAAAATGAGGAACATGCACACTGTCATCACAGACCGGTTTTGCTTCGCCTCGAAGTGCCCCTCTCGAGAAAAAAAATTGCTGCGTGTGGCCACGGGCAGCACAAGTTGGGGATATGTTCGCGTACATCTCTCACTAACGCATTGCAATCTCGCATCGAGTTCCTTCAGGATCTCTGTTTGCGGTGTGTTCGGCAACTTCTCAAAGGCTGCCACCCTGAATGCGTCGATCATGTGCAGGAATATGCCGTGTTCGATCGTGTGCATACGGTCTGGTTGCAATGCGAGGTGGTAGTCTAGCTGAGGATCATCGGCACTCGGTCCCCTGTAGAACCCCCAAAGGTCATTCTGTTCAACATGCCTATGCATGTCCAACTCCGCCATTCGCCCTTCCGCCGCACGGTGCACGTCATCCTCGTCCGCCGTGAACACAACTGCTGCGAGTTGAGTTTTCAGCGTCTCGGATCTCCTGCTGTCCGTGAAATCGACCACGACATCGAGGTCCGTTTTTGACACGGTGCACGTAGGGCATACACCAAACTTCACAGTCGCCAGCGCACATCGCTCTGGGTAGTCCTGTATATAGTTGAGGAGGAAAGGGTGGACAGTCACGTCCCCGAATCACGTCGACGGTATCGTGATGTCATCGTGCGATGCCTCCTTCGCAGCTTGCAAAACCGTCGAAAGGGCCTTGTGGAAGATGACGGCCTTTCGCTTCCTGAATGCGGTGGACTGTAAACCCCATCCTTTGTCACGGGGTCGATGATGAAGCATGGGAAGATAGGCCAGCAGAGTGGCTTCCGATGCGTGGTCGGCTAGCGACATCATAAGAGGGTATGCCGTCTGTTTCTGACGACCGTCTGTGTGTGTCTTGTCGGAGTACAGTGAGAGAGGGATTACATATCGTGAATATCCATTCTTGTCGACACCTTTGTGCGCTCGAATGATTGACTGCGTGTGATAACTGAGCGCCCCGCTGCGCGGACCGGATACACTGTTGTCCTTTGACGGAGGGGACACCTCGAGGGAATAAACCGTCTCGCATTTCTGCAACGTGACATGCATTATCGATAAGAATGCAGTTCGCCAATCGCGGTGCCACGAGACGGCGTGCGCTTCTCGAGGCCAGTCATCACTACGCAGATCCAACTCCTTCCACCCAGCGGCCTCTGCAAGACTGCCCGCCCATGCGAAGAACTCTCGACTGTTGCGGTACGCAATGTCCGTCGCGCTGAATCTCGGGTCTTTGAGAAGTGACAAGAGAGCATCAACGTCCGTATGTGACATATCGACGCCGCCCCTGGCGGAGAAAATAAGCGCTACTAGCCTGCGCAAGCTGTCAAAAGGCTCGACGGGTTGCGCTGCCGGCTCTGCGTTATCACCGGCTGCCCCATTCGCATCGTCCTCCGGCCCCGCGTCCTCGCTCTCATCACCAGCGAGATTGGTTGCGCCTATGTTGGATGGTCCCGGGTCGTGGGCAACATCATTCTCTTGCCTTTGCGCTCCCTCATCCGCCACGGCGGGGCATGCCCTCGCACGATGCGAGTTTAAAGTCCGTAAGAACATGAAAGGTCTGCCGCAGTCGCACATCCGTGGACCGCTGTCCATTTCCTGTGCTCGCAGTGCATTCCAAAGACAAACAGAGCGAAGCGGACAGTGCTTCGTTAGCATTTTAGACATATGGTCGGGGCATGTGCACCACATAGTGCTGACCATGTTTTCTTATGCAGTGTGAGTATTGCACGTTGTGGAAAATGCGTGTTTTCCACGTATCCGTCGTAATCAGTGAGATTGCCCATACGAGCCAAGCTATGACTCACTTTCCCGGACGTGTACACTACCTTCAAGATAGAGACTTGAGATCGGGCGAGAAGAAAAAAAAAAAAAAAAAAAAAAAAAAAAAAAAAAAAAAAAAAAAAAAAAAAAAAAAAAAAAAAAAAAAAAAAAA